CAAGTAACTCTAAAATGTTACAAGTAATTTGGAGGCAAATCTTGGCATCTTTCATACAGAGACTGGACGGTTGATCCAGTAAGTTCTGTGTTGCCTCCAGCTGCCTTCAGCGTGGTATGGCATGAGCAGTTGTGAGTGATTGCTGAGTGAATGTCAGGGATGGAGTGTTTTTCAGCAAGGGGCTCGAGGGTCTCTGGTAGAGGGCTCTCCCTTGAGGGTTTCAAAGCAGGCATCAAGCTCACTGTCCATTTTTACAGCTTCTGTATTAAGTGGACATTTCTTTAGACCCTTCAGCTACTGACAGGGACAAGGTGTTTGATACCATGAACATAGAAAAAGCTGTCTTGAAGTCGTAAGCCCCCAGAGATGGTATTACCGGAATAAATTAGAGATGAGTATTATTGGTTGGGTAGGATGGCTTGAGAAGAGAGGCTTTGCGTAGGGTAGGTCTGCAGAGACCTTGCACTGGATGACATCAACCAATCAGTTTTTGGAACAGCCGAGATCAGAACTATTGGGACTACGGTGAAACCCTGCAGCCACGGTGGACAGTGGAAGTCTCCCAGACTAGATCTTTGCAAGAGTCAAGACCCATGCTGTGGCTCAGGCCACAAGTGGTCTGGCCCCACCCTCCACCCCAAAGCAGCTAACCTTGTCCATGCCCTCTTCTGGGAACAGTGTCTCATGTTTACCCTTCCCGGAACTGAGACAGGAGATTGTCTGGAAAAATAGAAGGTTGTTTTAAGTTACCTCCGTGCCAGAGGTAGGTACAGAGCGTACCACCTACCCTACTCGCAGCGGGTGAGTGAGCATAGGTGGGAAACAAATGTGTGCTTTTGTAGTATGGCCAGGAGTATAGTCCACGTATGAATCCAGTTCTAAAATAGAAGCAAAAATTAAGGCTAAAATTGTGTTAAGCCACCACTTATTTTGTTAAATCTTGACTAAACTCTCAATTAAAACATTGTAATTTTACCAAGGAATACTTTTCTCCTGTAAATAAATCTGAAGTATTCTTTTGTAAGAGAGAGAATCAAAACAGGTGGAAAACTGAAATAGCTGTTGCACTGTTCCAGAGTAACTTTTATTTGCCACATGGTTTCAGGATGTGTTACATAGGCATGCTCTCTATTTAATTGTACGGATGGTCTGCTATGATGATGGTCTGGGAGCAGGAAAAAGTTTACTGGCTTTGAAGACAACAGATGCAGCCTCTGAAGAATGCAGCCTCTGGGTATATCAGTGCAATAGTTTGGTAAGAGTTTATGTTTACAGTATTTAATTTAGGTATCAGTATTTTGATTGTAAAGGGAGAGTCTAAAACCCAAGGCCCTTGTGAAGGCTTTTTGGCAGAAGGGGATTGCTTAATTAGAAAGAATATAAATGTGTCCTGGCTGAGGAGGGGAGAAAAGCCCTGCTGACTGCATTTGATCAGCTTTGAGGAAAAATACCTACGTTCCCTAAAATTGCCAATCAAAATTGGCCTGAGAAAGCTCTTTGCGATCTGAAGAGTGCTATCGTAGCTGCTAAGGACAACCCTCCGTCTGTAGTTTTGAAGACAAAAACAAACCTCTTGAGATAGGACAGAGCAAGGAAGGATTGAGTAACAATTCTGGCAATAGAGCATGCATTCATACTTGTAAGCAAAGGAAGTGATCTGCTTTTAAGAGGAGAATTCCTTGTCAAGATACTACGATAATGCACACACCCTTAGCAGCACTGGGGGAACACTTGAACTGACTTTCCTGAATGCTAGTGTCATGCTATGATGAAAGCTAATAACTCTGACTTGTTTCAAAAGGGCTCATTTAAAACAGCTTCCCACATGTCATCGCAGACTACAGAAATCAAATTAAATCTCTCTTGTGCTACTCCATTTTACATGCCTCTGCCAAAAGAATGATAAAGGTCACATTCTGCTTTAAATGAGTTTTGAGACATTTAGAAGTTCTTCAGAAAGTGTTCATGTGTGTGTTTGGATCTTTTTTCAGGAACAAGCACAAGCTATTTGCAAAGTGTTATCTACAGCCTTTGATTCAGTTTTAATGTCGGAGAAGTCCTGATGTTCTTCAGCAGCACACGACTGTGTAGCACAAGAGGCCTTTGTGTGAGGAGGAAATGGGGCTCCTTTGTGATACTGCAGACTGGCTGTAGCTACGCACAAACTTAGAAAAGACTTGCTGTGCAAAGAAGAGGCGTGCAACCTTGCACATGGTACTTTGTCATTGCCCAAGCACGACTTGAAGAAATTATTCCATCTTCAGTTTCCAGGACAATACAGAATTTTATATTTAACGTTAATTTTTTTCCTAAATTGTGTTTTGTATATTAATATTGATATTGTAGAAATGTAAAATAAAACTGACACTTGCTTCTGTCTCTGTGTGAAAACCAATTTGTTAACACAGACTTCAGTTCTGCTGAACATAGATATTCGAACAAAACAAGAGCAAAGTGATACTAGGTAGTCATTTGGTGCTTTACACCTCTAATCTTAGGTGTGCCATCTACATGGTTTCTATGTTCAACTAAAAATCCACAAGATGTACTTTTTTTTGCTCGAGTGCTGCTTGTCTGTATTTCTCATTTTACACATTGAAAAGAAGAATATTGCCTGAGCACTGCAGAGTTAACAAAAGAGAAGTAGCCAAAGTGATTTTAAAAGTAGTTTTATTTTTCCAGACATTTGACTGGTTAACAAGAGTAAAATTTATTAATCATGCTCTAATTATAAATCACTGCATCCAGGACATTGAAAATAAGAGTTGATTTTAGGTTATACAATATATACAGTTGCTCTGCAACTAAACAAAATAAAAACAACTGAATTGAATATTATACATCTCATAGCATTCTAAGCTGCATTTTAAGTGTCACTTGCTCCTTTTTAAACAGTTAACACAGCAACCTAATAGTCTGTCTATTAACAGGTTTTTTTTAATCATCATTTTAATCAGATTTGAAAAGTTGTATGAAATATGCCAAAATTTTGGACTTAAAATTCTTAATTTTATATTATAAATAGATATCTACAGGCTCTAGAATTTCTTTTTCCTCTGCCAGAGGAGCAAACTTCGAGAAACATTGAAAATCTAGGGATAAATTTTGCTTAGCTGCTCATTATTGGTCCTCGAGATTTTATCTGTCTGCACTGTTAGTGCTACTAAGCTGTATTCTACAAGTTTCCTACTTTCTAAGTGACCAGCAAACAAGGTAGTGACATTTTAAACTGTACTCCTCTTCTAGCAGAACTCAAGGAAAATTTGCATCATTGTTTAACTTCACGAGTTGTTACATACACTATAAGATTCTGTGTTAAAAATACTGTACATTAGGAGATCTGTGCAAAATAATATGCCCATTTACTCTCTAGACTCTATCAGGGATAGAAACATACAAAATAGTGTTGCAAACTGAACGTATCATTAAGTGAATAAACTGTAGTGCTAAGCTATTACTCTCTTTTTACTGGGGACTTTGAAAATACAGACTAATTTGCTTCAACTTGCAACAAAAATATCTTGAAACATTCCAGTTTGTTCCCCGTTCATACTGCAGCAACAGCATCTAGAAAATGAAAGTTAGGCGTATACGTGGCTGTACCCACACATTTGAGAGGCTACCAACCAACGGTACCATTCAGGAAAGGTGATACAAGGCAAGATCAGTGTTGCTCTTCCAGCACTAACGCAGTGTGATTTTTCTCTAAATAAGCATATATGGTGGTGGCGTATTTTCCATTCTGTTCAATATGAAATGACCAATTGAAACATTTGTCAGAAATTCAAAGTTCTCTTGACAAATCTAGAGATACAATATTCACGAAACGTGATCAAAGCCAATGTGACCTAGACATTGATTTTTCTTATCCTATGCCATCAGTTGTAGCATAAGCAAAAACTGGTACAATTTCACAATATACAAACATCAAAATGACGTCAGATTGGTCTTGGTTGTTTCGTATTCCATCAACCAACTGGGAACCGTCCATGGCCTAGCCTTTGTTCACAAATTAGTAAAACAAATTTAACAACAGTGTAGCTACCATATATGTGGGTATATTATATAAATATAGAGTGAGATAGCAAACTATCGTCGTTTGCAAGGTAGTGGCACACAAATTTTGTAAAACCGAACATAACATAGTGTACTTGTGAGGTGATAGATACCTTATTGACCAAGGATAATTATCTGAATGTTCCACCAAATATGTTCTCTGTGTGAACACATTGCTGGATGATTGAAGAAAATTCAAGAATTTAAAACCAAAGTCTAAACACTATAACGAGACGAGTGTAAGAAATGCTCTGCAATCCATCATCATAGTTAAGTACATTTCAGGAAGTGCAGTTTTCATATCCTTGAGTTAATGTAGTAACTCGTTAATATTGCCAAAGTTTAACCAGCAGTAGTCACATTAAATGACCAAAATGGATGTAACATACATACAGAACATTCAAAAACCAGGTTCTACACACGTGCAGCATAAAAAAATGAAACAGTCTCAAGCTCACAAAATTAGAACTAGAAAGTTCAACAACTAACACAGATTTCAGGTAACTAAGCAAATATCTACATCCATTCTGAAAGAAAGAAGTTTCTCCTGTGGTAAACTGAAATACTTTTTCACTTTTACCTGGCCAAAGACACCCGATTAAAATAATTTCTTCTGTAATAGTTGACATCCTGGATGACAGCCAGTATGGCAAGATGCTGAATGAGTCCAATTTAGAACTACGCAGCAGCTTGCATGTTTTGGTTCCAACACTTCAAATGGTATCAAGAATTGGATAAATTCACTGCCCTGTTAGATGCGCACAATTTTTTTTGACTGGGGAAGCAACACTGAATTGTGGTATTGTGATGTTACAAAAGGGAGAATAAAATTACAGTTAATTGATTGAAAAGGACGTTCACGATGTTGTGATGTTCACACGCTTATGTGTATTTTGATTGTTAAAGCTTTTCAGTTCACCTTGAAAAATACAGGAAGAGTTGGGTTTTTTTAAAGTGTAAACTGCTCATGAGAAGTTTTCACATAGAAAGAAGCTCTAGAAGTCCCAAAATCAGAACAACGGCAATAAAAAAGTAAGCTACAGTACCTAGGACTTGGGCAGTGTTCTGGCAAGGTGTCTGCAGATAGGTAGATGAAATGAAATAGAGCAAAACTTATTTCTGTGACCGCTGGAAATGAGAAATGTCTCCACTTATCAGTAGCAATTTAGTCAACAATAAAGTGCACAAATGATACAGGGAAAGCTCCTTTCCGACTGGGATCTCCATCGATATGGCCAATCTGAAAGAGTCCAGATATTTTTCAAGTTAACATCAAAAAGGCATTTCAGTATCACCAAAATGAATACCAGTGACCTTCCTGCCTACAGTACAACAAGCCTCTCCCTACATCTTTTCTGCAGCGGCGTTCCTTTTCTTTTGTGAACGGGAAACAGTATCAGAAAATTCAGTCTGACAAGGTGCATTTGTTAGTCAGCTATAGACATTTTTTTTCAAATTCTGTTTTATCCAGTTCTTTGGAAGTAACACCTCTTAATGCAGTACCACTGCTGCATCATTTCAACGCATTCTGCAATGCCTGGCAGCCCATATTCTGCCTCAGTTAAGTTGCTTCTGCTTCCCCCTCTTAACAATCACTGAAAGGTAAAAGGATTGATCAAGCTTTAACAGTTTTTGGGTTTACATGAATCTATTTGTGTTTATGCAGCATTATTGTCAATTTAGATGCAATCTGAAGTTCTAGTCTTCACTAGCTAACCATCAGAGTAAGGCAAGTGTTTTCATGCATAACAATTTTCCAAGCTTTAGCTGATGAGACTCTGGAATGTAAATAGGTGAGATGCTTTCACAGCTCAGATAGACCATTTCTCAATCTCAGTCAGCTGAAGAATTAGGACAATACAAAGCTGTCTTCTGAGGCCCACCACACAGCATCTTCAAGGAAGATGAAACAGTAGCAGATTCTTAAACTGCTGACAACCCCCAGGAATTTCCTGAATCAAACAGACCATGTCCCCTGTATATTGTGAACTCTACTAATCAGATTTTTTTTTTTTTTTTTTAATGAGAAAAGCCAAAAACTTATCTGAAGTTTGATTTTTGAACAAAATAAATTTCTGGAATCAGATTTCTGTGAGATGATACTTTTCCTGTTATTTGGAAACCCAACAGGGGATCTTCTGAAGTCAGTGTCAACCTCTAGATTTCATTTATTTCTTTCAAAGTATGTTGATGGAAAATGTAAAATACTCACCCACCACTCCTGATCTTCTTCACCATCAACTACAATAATATCTCCCTCTGAAAAAGTTAGCTCATCTGGGTTATCTGCTACACAGTTGTAAATTGCTTTTACTCTCTTGGGTTTAGTTTTTGACTGAAAGAGAAAAATAAGTCAATGTTAATAATACAGCATGGAAGAGACAGAATAGACTTGGAGTTGATCTAAAGAAAGCTTCAGAACTGCTTCCAACCGTTATTTTTCATAGGTTAAGATTTCAGCTACACCTTTTATTCTGGGTGCTCACGCTTCAGGCTGAATTTGGCAGCATCCAAAGCCTTTTGGAACCACTGCGCCACCAACGTGGGCCAGGTTTCCCTTAGCAATCTTCCATTTTGGCTCATCTGTCTTCAGAGCTCTACATCATTGCAGCAAGTATGGTTTTATTCACAAGATGGGGTGATCAAGATCAAGTGCTATGCAGCAAGCGTAACAGCAGCAGCATTATCAGAAACAGGCCTGAGCCACCTGCCAGTAAGCCCCTTCTTAATTTGCTAAACCCATTTCAGCAGTGTACAAACCCTCTGAAATATCCTCTGCCTCTCTGTAGTGCTTTGAGGACTGCAAGCCACAGGAGTGGTTTGTCAACTCTTCCAATAGGAAAGTTTAGTAAGGAGTTGCAGTATTCCAATACAGCAGCGGAACTCCAATGCTAGCTGTGTTCTACTTGAAGTGATGCCTGAAGTGTTTTGCTCTGATATCACAGCATCCACCATCCTAATCTCACACCTCTCCCAGTGCAACCTGGCCTGCTGCTGCATTTGTTTTCAGCCTCCTCATTCTCCGTTGCATACTAACAATAATACTACCTACGTAGTGTTTCCATGCAAGGAGCGGAGAGGCACAGGATCTGGAGGCAGAGCATAAGCTTTCTACCATGAGTCCACCCTTTCCCCGAGTTTGTCCAGCCATAGCCAACAAAAGTCTCTCATTTCTATCCTAAGATGCCAGAGCAGAACTGCAAGTGCCATTTAGGTCACAAGACATCTGTTAATGCAGTGGGTGTTTGGGACAGAGGCTCCAGACGCGATAAGGAAAAGAAGGTCTCACCATCATCCTGGAGTCCCCCAGGGACGGGTCCCAGTCTCTAATCAGGTCAGCCATGGAGGGGAGAAGGGCCTCACTCCATCTACAAGTCTACTTCTCTCCACCAGCAAAATGCTCTGCTGTGGATGGTACTGCCCAACAGCCTCTTAATGTGCCATTTTGTTAGAGCTGAGTGCCATGCAGAAAAAGGGGGATGTGGATGGGGAAGGAGGGAGGTAGCATGATCGTTATGCTCCCCTGAAAGCATTCATTTGCATTTCAGTATAAAAAAAACCCTGACCTGTCCAGACCAGGCGTACCCTTAGGCTCTATCTGTGGGGCACACCCCTGTGAGTTGGCAGCCTTGCACTGCATCACAGCAATTTTGCCAGGTGCTCCATCTCAGTCAAGTTACTGTTTGAACCACAACCACCTTTTAGGTCAAGAAGGAAAAGCTTCACATCAGTACAACACTGATATCATTACTAACTTGAAAGTGCAGTAATGACAGGTATTTCTTGCTCTTTAGAAGGCAAGGAAATTAAAATAGATCTCATTCCCAGAAGACTAAAATCTTCCAGGAAAGTTTCCTGCGTATCTACAATATGCTTTCAAAAATCTAAAATATACACTAAAGAAAAAAAAATGCATCAGGAATTTCCATCTGAAAAAAAAGGCTGTTGGGCAAATGCACCATATAGGAGATAAGCCACTGGCTACATGTGCACGTACAACTAGATCTCTTTTTTCTTTACTCAAGAAGCACTTCTGCAATCACTTCCTAAATCTGAGCTGGCCTCTGGACTCTCTGGTAGGGTAAAGACTTAGCAAAAAAGGCTGGAGTATAAGGCTAAATGGAGTGATTTAGCCAAAGCACTTCAGCTAGACTGATCTAGCCAAAGCTATTTAGCTGAGGGGCCCTTGACTAAATCTCAGCTAAGATGCTTTAGCTAGATTGATTTAGCTAAAGCACCTTAACTAGCACACTGTCCTGGTTTCAGCTGGGATAGAGTTAATTTTCTTCCTAGTGGCTGGTACAGCGCTGTGGTTTGGATTTAGGATGAGAAGAATGCTGATAACACACTGATGTTTTAGTTGTGGCTAAGTAGTGTTTATGCTGGTCAAGGACTTTTCAGCTTCCCGTGCTCTGCCAGGTGCACAAGAAGCTGGGAGGGGGCACAGCCAGCACAGCTGACCCGAACTGGCCAAGGGGCTATTCCATACCATATGGTGTCATGCTCAGTATATAAACTGGGGGAGTTGGCTGGGGGACAGCGATTGCTGCTTGGGGACTGGCTGGGCATCGGTCAGTGTGTGGTGAGCAACTGCACTGTTCATCATTAGTTTTGTATATTCTTTTATCATTATTATTACTTTCTCTTCCTCTGCTGTCCTATTAAACTGCCTTTTTCTCAATCCATGGGTTTTACTTCCCTCCCTCCCCCCGATTCTCTCCCCTATCCCACCACGGCAGCAGGGAGGGTGAGCGAGCGGCTGCATGGTGCTTAGTTGCCAGCTGGGGTTAAACCATGACACACATGCTCCTTGAGCCAGGTTTCCATTACTTCTCTGTCCTATGACAAGAAGAGAATTGTCCACCTGATTTTCTCAGTCTCAGAAAATTCACCCTACTGAAGTCCTAGAGAGATCTGGAGAGTCAGATTTGTTCTTTGTATAATGCGCAATTAATATTAAATTGTGGAGACACTGTGACTGTTCCAAAAAAACCAGCCAGGATACCCCATTCACTCATAAGTAAAGCAATTTGTCCTATAGAACGAAGGAGGAGAGAACCACCACAACCTTAATTTATACAGAAAGCCAAGTAAGGAGCTGTTTCAGAACTGACAGATGTGTTAAAAGGATGTATCCAGTGCTTACACCTGAATCCCAGAACACACAACAGAAACTGTGATCAGGATCCAACAGCTTCACAGAGTAAATTTGGCAACTCCCTTGGTGCATGTAAGCAAACGGGATAGATATTCCATCTTACACTAATCAGACGATTTTATTTTATTGTGACCTAAAACATGAAAGTTATTTTGATGCAAGACAGACAGTAACTTGGTTAAACAAGAGTTGGGGAGGCAAGAAAACAGAACATTTTATACTCCCAACTAATGCAAGATGAACTCCAGATGTCTCTGTGGCTTTTCAGCATTATCAGATGAGAAACAGCTAATAGGAGTTCTAAGAGCTCAAGACAAATGTGCAAGGCTATACACACAAACACACTGAAGTCTGTCCTGGAGAGTCACTATTTCAGTAGACATGGTTAAGGAAAAATGAAGGGAGAGAGACAGAAGGCTGAAGGAGGCAGGTCTTTTCGTTACAGCCCATTAATAAGATAATTGCAGATGCAGGAAGAGCATGTGTCCCACCTCTCAGTTTATTATTTACCTACTGAACCACACTCCTACACATAATACAAAGCATGAAACAGCCCAGACCTAGTCACATACAGCATCTCAAAAAGTATGGACTCTTTATATTGTGATTTGCTTACTGCAGAGAAATACTGTCATGATCAAGCATATGGATGTTTTATGTCTATCACACAAGAGAGCAATATAAAATCTGAGCAAGGACCAAAGACCCAGCTGAACTACATAACAGCTCAACTGACATCTGGAAATACATCCCTTTACCTACACCAGTATAAGAATACAGGTATTGACACTAATATGTCTGTTACTATTCATTGTCCTAGATTATAAATAAGAATAAATAACAGTGTAAAAAGCCCACACAATTGGACCAAGAGTCCATGTAAATGCAGTATCTCGTTTCTAACAGTCACTGTAAGGCTGGGGGAGGGTGGAGAAGAAGAATATACAATACTTGCAGCCCAACACTTCATGCCTTCCCCTTCACCCTTCAACCACCTTCTGGTTGGGGATGTCTCAAGTCAGGTGTGGTTTCTGTGTATTTACCGAGATTTCCCTCCTGTCATCCAGTGAGCGCATGACAAAGACTTAAAGAGAACCAACTGCAGAAAGAACCAATTTCTTCTGTTTTGAGCTTGACTCTTACTAGTCTTGTCTGAAGCCATTTGATCTACCTATGTGAACAACTATGAGCATATCTACTTCCATTATGAAAGTAAGCACAAAAGCTCCCTTATTACTTACTTCACTGAAGTTTAAGAATACAGTTACATATGATCTACACGTGACTCACTAAGCTCATCTACAAATAACTCGCTTACCAAGCTTAGCTACCTTCAGTAAGTCAAACCACACATTCTGTGGATTGTGTTGGTCAAATTTGGACACAAGCAAAGAATCCATGCTTCTTTTCTCTGGTTTCTCTTTGGTATTTGTTGGTGGTTTTTTTTTTTTTAAAATTAAAATCACATTCCATATAGGAAATGCAAGAAAAGAAAAGTTTTCATAAATATTTAGTACAAGTCATGCACATATTTAACACAGGATACAGGCTCTGTATTTCTCATGATTCTCACACTTTCTCCATAACAGGATACACTATTATGTCAACAGCATGTTTGATAGAGTGTGGAAGATGTAATAAAGCCAAAACCCAGATTATCTACTTACTGTTTGTGATTTCCTTGGCATTGGTGCTGGTGGCTGGATTTGTGCCAAAGTATTTGTTGTAGAACCAGTTTGTGTTACTGGAATTTCACATACAGACTCTCCTGCTGCTAAGGTAAGCAAAAGAAATAAATTTTAGGCATGCTTTAAAAGAAAGTAAGAGTGATGATACAAATTGAAACCAAATTAATTATTCTTTAAAGGATACAAATAATTTTATATCCTACGAGTATTTAATTTTTTAATGGTTCTTTCTAAATAACTGAACAGAATTTTTCTATCCTCTTCCTTGCCAAAAAGGCCTCTTTTCTCAAAGACAGTTACCTAAGACCTTTAATACTGCAGATATGCTAAAACAGAAAAATAGATGGGAGCAGAACCAAATATCCCATTTCCCCATTCATTCACTGCAGACTGTGTGCTTTTAGAACCCTTCTTTCCTAGTAAAGACCATCATTATCAAGATGCTCTATCCTTCACAGGAGACTCCTGTCACAGATGGCAGATAGTCAAGGGGAAATAAAAAAGAATCACAGTAAGAAACAATGAACATAATATATATAGTGGAAGGGGAAACTGGGTAGGAGAAATTCCACTACAGACACCACAGAATCCATACAAACTTTGCTTTGGACATTTTATTGAGAAGACATTATTGTAATGTCCCAAAGTAGTAGTTACTTTGAACAACAAAAAGAGCAGAATGAATAATGAACTCCATTCATTATTATGAAAAAAGCAATATCAATTTGCAATTTGATTAAAAGTGACACTTATGAACTTTAGATTTTCAAACTAACAACACATTTTTCCATTCTAAGATGTGTATCTGTTACCTTGTTCATGACACGTGCAAACAAGAGAGTAAACTAACTAGTTTTCATAATGCATCCTTTGTTTGAGTGGGATTTAAGTGAGGTTAGTTAAGCTAAAGCCCAAGTAGAGCTGAATCTGGCAACGGATGTCAAAGACAACAAGCAGGGCTTCTGTAAATACATAGGTAACAAAAGGAAAATTAGGCAAACATGGGCCCATTGCTCAATGAGATGGGTGATCTGGTTACACGGGACATGGAAAAGGCTGAGGTACTGAATGCCTTCCTTGCCTGTCTTTACTAGCAAGACTGGTCTTCAGGAATCTCAGGTTCCAGAGACGAGGGGAAAATCTGGAGCAAGGAATTGCAAAGTCCTACACCTGGGGACAAATGAGCCCATACACCGATATATGCTGGTGGCCACCCAGCTGGAAAGCAGGACCAGAGGCAATGGGCACACGCTGAAACATGGGAGGTGCTGTCTGAACATCAGGAAACACTTTGTTACTGTGAGGGTGACTGAGCTCTGGCACGGGTTGCCCAGGGTCACTGTGGAGTCTCCGTCCTTGAGATATTCAAAAGTCATCTGGACACGGTCTTGGGCAACTGGCTCTGGGTGGCCCTGCTTGAGCAGAAGGGTTTGGCCATATAACTTCCAGAGGTCCCTCCCAACCTCAACCATTCCGTGATTCTGCTTCTTATTACTTGGCCCCATTATTTACATTAATTGGCCCATAACTCTGCTCATGCAGAAAAGCTTGAGGCATCAGGGCCTACACAATCAGGAGAAGAAACAAGAAGAATGCTTGTACTGACTGTATTTAAATGTGTAAGGTAAATAAAAAAACCCCACTCTCCCTTAGGCTGTTATAATGACAGCTTAATTACAATAAAATACATCTCTAAACCACAATTACCAGTTTGTTGTAGAGACCCAAGTCCTCTGGACTGCCCTTTGTTAGTTAAGCCAGATGACTTCTCGGTCCTGTGCAGAAAGTTAGAAATTCATCCATTTAAGAAATAAACAAGAACTTGAACCACAACAATACAGAGTATTTTCCAAATTATAAAATTCTTGTCACGTCTTCAGTATATTGTGGTGACAGCTATTTTGCTTTTAAAAATACTACTTCGCTTCTGTATTTTTGATTACTCCAATCATAAGTTGCACTTAATTTAAAAATATGAGAGAAAAATTATACCACAATTTGTGTAGAGCAGATTTTCTTTTCCTAAGTTCTGAAGCTCCTTTCACTGCTGTTTTAAAATTCTGTCTTAAAATTATGTATCCATATTAATCTTTATATTATAGCATGCTTCAGCAAGTTGCTTCTCCCTTTTACTTAGTATGGTATATGCAATCAAAGGACTAGAAAGGGAGCTCAAAGGTCAAAGGTTGTTTACCTCTTTCATTCACAAAGGACCATGTATATTATTTATCTCACAGATACACATACACGTCCCTGTATCTTATAACTATCTAAGTTTGTATAGGCTTTACTCCGCCAAATTTCCAGTGTCAGAGAACCCAGAAACTTCCCAGACAAGTTACTATGATATTTCCCCATGCTCACTTTTGGAAAGCTTTCCCTAGTGTCTAACTAAATTATTCTCGCCCGAAATTAAACAAAAGTCTTTTTTAGAGCCATCATGAAATGTAAAAAGGAATGGCATAATCCAACACTTAGTACATATCTGAAGATGTGTATCTATGCTACAATTTATTTTTTAAAAAAATATAACAGAATCTTGTTTCTTCCAAACTTTTCTCACAGGTCATATTTTCTAGACTTCTCATTACCTTATGGATCTCCCCTGGTTTCTGCCTCACTATTTTGTATCTTTATTTTATTGCAATACCCAAAACTGAACACAGTAGTCCAGCTGAGGCATTACTGATGTTGAGTCAATTGGAAGGATTAATTCATATAATTTGCAGGCTATAATCAAACTATAGTATTTCTCCTTGACTCTTCCACAACAGCATGAGTCATCTGACTTACTTTTATTTATAATCACTATGTCCTTGCAGATCCTTCTCTTAAGGGCTTTTGCTTAACCATACTCTGCTGTTTTCTCCATGCTTTGTTTTTGTAGTTGATTGTTCTTTAGTACTAAGTGTTGTTTACTGAATGACACCCCTCTTCTCCCTTGACTACTACTACAGTTTCTCAAGTCTGCTTTGGATATCATCCTGTTTTCCAGTACACTTGTCCATCCTAACTTTGGTTCCTGCAAATTTAGAAACAGTATTTTCTGTTCCAGGTCTCTCTGCTCCTGGCATGAATGAAAATATTGAATGGAACTGCACCCACGCAAAGCACGTGAATGATAAATGGCACAATCAGACAAAAGATCCTATTATCTCTTCTCTGTTATTAGATGAGAATTAGAAATGGATTATTCTTTGTGGCTTCTTATTTCCATCATGGCTAAGCATTCTGTAGATATTCAGCAAGTCATACAATCTTAAGTCACTAGGCTGTCTTGTTTTTACTGTGAGAATCCTTGTAATCTGCTCCCTTAGTGTCTGCCTTCTGTTCATTCCCATACTCTAGAACACACCGTTGGCAAAAGTATGCATGCTTTATAGATGACTTGCACATTATATACCATAAAACTGAAAAGTTACTAATAATTATGAAGTATACTAAATACTAAAATGACATCGGTTACCCAGGAATAGGCTTTCTTTGCGAGATTCTACTAGGAGGTTGTGGGGGCAGTGGTGGTGGGGTTGGCTTAGTTTGTGGAGGAGCTGGTTGCTGTTTAGATTGCTGGTTCAAAGCTTCTATAATGCTGGCTGTCTTTGCCACTGGAGGCGGTGGTGCTGGAGAAAGCACATCTATAGAAGAAAGTTAGACAGTGAAATGGAATTAAATTTCTATTTACCATTTTGTTTCTTGGGTTCTCATCCACAGGTTTTCCTGTTACAGGATTTAACCCCATCCAAGAACAATGCTTCACTACATGTAATCAATAACTTAAACAGAAAGCAATCCTTCCATTGGAAGGAGGACCTCTTTGGAAAGAGGTTTCCCTTTTTGTTTCACCTAGTCAAGGTCAGAGAGCTCGCAAGTACTGCAATTCATTCAAGCACTAAAGTACAAGCAAAGAAAATTCTTACTGAAGTCAGTCGTATTCTTGAAAATAGTGGATCAGAATATATTTAATAAAATGCTAATATTGTTTGCTCAGTCAAGGCCTTCAGTTTGTGTTTTATGGAAAAGTAACTGAGTGAGTAATATCTGAGAAATTTTATTTAGAGGAATGTCTTTTCTTAGAATCCTGTTACGATTAACTTCTGATTAATGTCTACCTAACTTCACAGTAGGTTTAGCAATTAATTAAAATTTCTACTGAATTCTTGAAACCACCACAACAGTAGCTGGCAATGCATTAAAACAACTTTTTTGCATTCCTATGGTCTGCAAGAATCAAGTACGATGTGGAGACATAGCCCCAGGCCTACATGTAACACTCATCTTTACCACTAGCAAGAAATGCAGCATTCAAACTATATATATATAAGTGAAGAGCTCCTTAGCTCTAGTAATAGATAGTATTTCCTGTTGATCCTGCACTACACCATACAGTCCTCACTGGAACGTCAGAGAAGGCAGTTCATACAAAGTTACTGGATGGGAACGATAGGCCAAAGCTACAGTCACCAAAAGAGGAAGTATGAGTTGTGGAAATGGAAAAATAAGCCAACTATGATTAGATACAGCAGAAGGGAAAACAGGGGAAAGTGGAAACATACTTGTAGATGTTACACGCAATGGCGGCACAGGGGGATGAATAGCTGGTGGATCTGATGAAGACCTCTGCCTGCTTATACTTTCCACTCCTAAAGAATTTGTCTTCCACATTGCATTAGATGAAGAAATTGTCTGAATACCACTGCCAAGAACTGAAGGCTGAACTAAAAAGAGAGGAAAATACTGTATTATTATTATTGCTTACCCTAAGCACAAAGTGTTAATATTCACACCCGTGCTTTTAAAAATGGTGCAGCTAGACCACTATATTCAGCTATAGGAACCACTGCCATCCTGCTGGAATGCCAGAGCAGAAATGAGAGTCTGGTGTAAAAAATTACATACAAGTTTCTGGGTGAAGTTTTACTAATACTTTAGCTAAGTAAAATTTGCCTCCAGTCAGTACTTTAAAATATGTCAACACTTGAAAAAGCAGAAATTTCTCAACAAGAAGACAGAAGGCAAGTCTTGATATCTTCTTTAATCCCTAACTGATAGCTGTAATCTTCTCAGATACTGCAAGAAAAGGACCTCGCTCTCGCATGAGCATTAGCAGACATTGCTGACTCAAAGTGAAACATCAGTTTTGACTTCGAATTGACTTAAAACTGTAATTCTGAATTTCACCCAAACAAGAAGCTATAATAACTAGTCATGAAATGGTTACGAAGTACGACTTCTTTGGGGCCTCCTAAATTACTCCTTTCTTAGGCTGAAGAGCTGCTTCCCCATTTCATAAAAGCACACTACAGGTTTTCTTCATAAAGCCAGTATTTTGCACATATCATGCCACTTCTCCCTACTCAGCACATGAGCATCATATTAAGAAAAGATGAAACAGAGTAAGGTATGAATAAATATTAGGTTGCAGGGAAAAGCATAAAAGGCTCAGAAGATTTGGAGAACAGCCTAAAGCTAAGAGGATAAAGGAGTAATAGTATACCATAAGCATAACATCAACATTAGCAATCAACAAGAAGCTAAGATTGATGATACTATTATAGCTTTTAACTAAGAATATAAAATAATAGGCTAATACATTGCTAGAGTAAAGAGTATGACCTAATAATCTATGCCAGGCAGCATGCTTTCTTGGCGTGAGTTGTGCTATACTGGTGCCAAGAAGTCTGGGGTTGGGAACGAAATTAAAATGACACTCTTTGAAAAGTGTCATTTCATCAAGGGCAAACAGTGGGTAAAACAGTATGGTTGGCCATGATTAAAATAATATCAAAGGCTAAAACAGTCTTTTTAACTATCCAGTTGTATTACTAATTTAGAGATAGAATCTAACAGTCAAACAGACTATGCAAGCTCCTTGGGTGAATCTTCCTTTTTGGTGGGGGAAATGTTCCTTTCCATGAAGTAAACAAGTGTCTAGCTATTAAGCTTAGACTTCACGCAAAAATGTTAGATGAAAGGAATCCCACCTTGGTTAAGTTTTATATGCTGCTAAACTTCCTCCAGTCTCATGCCACCCTTTTTAAGTAACCCAATACCATGCTTTTCCATTCTCAGTTTTTCTGCCACCAAAATAACATATTTTAATCCAATTTTTATGCTGCAGCCTTTCCTGTAAGACCAATAACTGACTTTTCACATTACACAGATTTCAATTTGCCATCTCAGACACAATCACTGGTGTATGGAGTCTTGCATTCTGACCTCTGCACAGTGCTCCCAAAGGCAGAAGCCACTCACATATGCCTAGAACATTCCCTGCTCCTATCTCCTCTTACAGAGTCTGAATTACAGCACCACAGAAAATCATGTGTTTACAAAGTAAATTTTCTTGAATTGAACTTTACATAAATTTAGCATCCATGAAAGCTGCTGGATTAATAAACTTATTAAAACGATGAAACACACCAAAACATGTACTGTACAAAGAGGACCTATACAGATTTCTCTGTGCTTCTTTAATACGATCCAAACGGATTATATCTGAAGATAAGAATGAAGTTCACAGCATCAGCTGTAATGGTAGATTTTTCAAGCACACAACCCTTCTGAACTAGGACGAGACATGCATTTTACATTGTTCTGCTCATCAGGGTATAACCAGTCATTGGCAGTTACACTTTCAGTCAGCTACCAGTTCTCTAAAATCACGCAGTTCTCCACATCATGACACTTTTATTTCAACAACCTTGAAGCATAATTTATTAAGAGATGACTTTGCAAGGTTAAAATCTCTCATGTTCTGCATACATTCTCCATTCTCCCAGGTCTTAAACAGTTTTCTGCAGCAGCCAAATGCTACTGAAATTGTACGTTTAAATTGAACTCTGACAACGACATCTTTAAGAAACAGAAGCATGAAAAGATGGAATATAACAAAAAAAAAAAAAAAAAACTGAACTAAATTGACTGCAGCCCTCCTTTTAATAAATTGTTTAACTCTACTGAGGTTACCTGGGCATTGTTTTCCCAAACACTATTGTGTACTTTCCTGCAGCTATACTGAAAATCGAACTCAGAACAGGTTGTGCAGATTCACTTCAAGTATACAAAATGAAGTCATCAATGAACTGTTCCAGTACTTACCTGTGCAAAATAACTGTAAAAGAAAACCTAAAAAGGTAATAATAAAAAAAGTCATGATCCCATTCTTCTAACATACAACGGTATTTTCCAGTGTTAGTACCTTTGCCAATATTCCTTGGAGGTAGAGGAGGTGCACTACTTGTAACAGGTACTGCAGCCTGAATGGGAGGTGGACTGCCACTGAGTATTGCTCCGTATGTTTCATTCTGTAATATACTTGGCATAAATCCTCTTTGCTTATCCTTAGCAATGTTTGCTGCATCTCTTGCCAAGGATGCTACATTAGGCTGAAGTTGGTTTGATCCAAGTTGATAGAAGCTGATAGGCCTGTCCTCTCTCCGATTGGGACTGGGTTGCTTAAACACAATAACAAAAGTACTCAGTGATACCACATTAATTGTACTCATTTTATTTATTAGTTGGTAGAAAGTTATTAGTTTCTAGAAAGAAAAAATGGCTTCTAAAATGCATTTTTGTTGCTTTCAATACATAACCTAAAACCTACATTCTGCCCTCTTCAAGACAAAGTAACTGTGCAGATTAAAAAAAAAAAAAAAAAAAAAAAAAAAAAAAGATTAAATGTGAATAGCATTTCAAAGCAATTACCATTTTCCCATTTTCCTCTGTAGTATACTCCTATAGGATAATATTGTATCCTCATATACACAGGACTATACTCCTATAGACAGTCAATATAGATATTCAGACTGGATCAAATAAAGTTTCCCTGCATCAAAATTGCCCTGCACTAGGCAATATTTTCAAAAGTAAATAAACAACTGAAGATCCTAAGCCTCATCTTAAGTTGAGCAGCATTAGATCCCAAATAGATGATTATGATCTCAAAAACCAGGACACAATTGCATCTAAGTATTCTACCTGTAGCTCAGCCTACAATAAATTAGGAGCCAAAACTTCTCATGAAACTTCTCCTTTTAGCTCACTAAAATCACTGGACAAGTTCAGGAGATTACTTCAGTGGGCAGCTGGGATGGAACATTGCTCATCCCATGCACATTATCAAATGAGATCTAGTTAGTTGTTTTCGAGATTTACGGTAAGTCATCTGCTTGGGTGCACACTTAGCATTATTTTTCCTGTTTCAACAGCAAGCATAGTAATTACTGTTATCAAATTATAATTAAAACAGCTGGAGTTATAGATTCATGTGGCTAGTACAGGAATGGGTTGTAACAATCCACAGCTCAGAGAGCATAAATATGTCTTTAGAAATAGTGTTAGATAAACACATCGCTGACATACTGTCTGTATGAAATAAAATAACCATTTATAGTAACAGCATTTAGGCAGAATAAAGATTTACACCAACAGTATCACAAATAAGCAATTGATTTTCCTCTGAATATATTCAATGCTTACTCTGGATTGATCATGTAGGGCCTTTAGACATGTCATAGCACAGCTTTATAGTTCAAAGATTTATCAGAATGATGTACGTGACAGCCAAACACATTAATCCCTACCTTTACTGTGGCTAAGCAGCCTCACTCCTCACTGGCTGACACTCTCCGTTCCCTGACCTCCCCACTGTCCTGGTTCTGGTATTTGTTTCAGCCCACACTTGCTTCTGCTTTCTAAACCAGCAGAAAATTCTTTTTCATTTTGTTGATCTAGCTTTTCATTGGTTTACCAAACTGAAACAGCTCAATACAGGGACAAACGTGTGCCAGAATGGAGGCAAAAAGTGAGGTAGGACCAGGCAGCTGGGGTGTGGACAGCAGCAGAAACCAGTTGGATTATCTTAGCCTTCTTTCAGGTTAGACTCTCTTTTATATGAAAAAATCTGGACTAAAAGAACTTCAGTATCAGACATGACCTTTTCTGACAAAGATTACAAAATCTATTCAATTGCTTTACCAGAAAGAGGTAAGCCCAATAGCTTGACAATTACAAACAGAACTCTGACGTGATCCTAAGCGACAGCAGTATTCACCAGTGCGTTCAATGTAGTCACAGACACTAGTCTGTGATTAATAGTCCTTAATCTCCTTTCAGAAGTCCCTGTAGTATTAGCCTATTAATAGTGGGCAGTGAAGTAGCAGTTTCATTACTTTAGCCTCATTGCTGAGTAGCGGATAACTTCCTATATGAGGTGGAGCTCAGGGACTAGCCAAAAAGAGAACGCTCAACTGCAGAAGATAACTGGCAACAAAGAAGGAAGTGAGGGAAAAACAGATCAAAAATACAAATTTAGAGTGTCCCAGAAAGGGATTTGCTAGATATCCAGTTGTAAAGTACCCAAAAGGTTTTACAGCTGAAAAACGCCATCTCTAAAAGATAACAGAAAGTTTCAAGCTGCTTTATCAAAAAGATCATCATTACTGTTATTATCTGGATGGTGATACAATATATAGGGATACACAAATACTGGGATATAATATGAAAGCTCACCCAGAAGAACTGTATTTAGCAACTCACAGATTCCAGATTCTTGCACAGATACCAAAATTCTCAAGAAAAATCTGAAGAAAATTCTCTGAAGGTAGCAATTGTGCTTTGAAAGGGATGGCTTGTGACACATTTTTTTTGCTCTTTGTTGCTAACTCTAGTTCAAGTCAAGCACCAGAGGTAACAGCTACCTTGGACTAAAGAGACAGGATATGGGGAGAAGAATCCTACGTAGAGAAGACCTTGACAAAATGGCATTTTGCAACAGAGGAAACCTACTGATGTCAAAATTAGTCTTCAAAACATTAAGCCAATTCAATGGTCTGATGGCCTAGCATTTTTAAAGACATTCTGTGAAGGCAAAGAAAATGAACCTATGGCTGTCAGGTTTTAAAATTTCTGAAAACAATGACAAGCCCAACACACAAGATTTGGTTTTATGTTATTAATTATTACCAATTCATGCCCTAGCTGAGATGGGGAACTTTGCAAGAGAAGTATTAAAATGCTAAAACTTGTAGAAAGAAAAAAGTCCAATTTCATTATCCAGAGGAGAAAGGGGTTTTTGTTAGCTACTTTCAAAAGAAAAAAAGGTTGTGCTAACATCTGAAGATTAACTAATATGAAGCTTATTGTGTATTCCTTGCACTTTATAAAGGAAGCAGGAAAGGCATAAGCAATTATAACACTGCAGACACCAAAAAGAACAAAAAAGTGTGTTCAATACTTATATGGAATACTTCAAATTATGAAAGTTTCAGAAAGTCATTAGTATTTAGGAACCCATATGTCATTTACAAATTACTTGCCCCCTAGAAATCCAAGCCATTTTTAACTGTTCAGGTATCAAAACATGTTAGTTTGTTTCCTGTCTGTATGTTCAGGTGTTTAAATACTTTTTGAAGTTCATCCCCAAATTGGAAAATTAAATTTTGAAAATGCAGTGAAGTTCCTATGCTACTGGAATACTTTGTAGTACCTGTAATATGACCATCCTTGGAGATATTCAAAAGCCACCTGGACACGGTCCTGGGCGACTGGCTCTAGGTGACCCTGCTTAGCAGGGATGACCTGCAGAGGTCCCTTCCAACCCCAACTATTCTGTGATTCTGGACCGAATAGCACCATAACACCACCAGAAATTTCAGGTATGAAAAGGGAGAAAAACAAAAATATTTTTACATGAAGATTCAGAATTAAACCTCTGCTATTAAGGGACATGGCTTATTTAATGCACAAGTTTAGTTCCACTGAAGACAAGCCAATGCACAAACTGTTCCAAAACCAAAGCTGTTTCACACATGTGAGGAGATACTATAAGGTGCCTCTCTTTGTAAAGGCAATTTTCCTAGCTCATGTTAGTTCTGCTTCACGATCAGCAGTTCTAAATATTCCTGATGTATTGAAACAACATATTGACTCCGTTAAGAAAAAGGTATCACATCTGGCTAATAGTAATTTGATATTAAATTGTATTAAAGAGGAAAAAGAAAACAAACTACAATTTAAGGAACTAAAATTTAAGCTACTACATTTTACTACAGAACTTTATTTCACAGTGTCTTCATACCTATAGTAAAAAGTAGCGTTATCGAAATCATTATGAACATCACGCTTACACAGCTATGTGTACTGAAAAATAATAATGTATTGATACAAACCTGCAGCTTTTCATCCACATCATCATCACTTTCATCCAGATCTTCATGGAGTAACCGCCATTCATATTCTACATGAACATGAGAGTTAAATCTTCCAGACAGTGCTTGAGTAAGCTAAGGAAAAAAAGATGACTGTTGACACCTATGTTATGTGCAGTACTTATTTTAAAACAACATATTTAAAACCAAACAAAAAACACATATAGAAGGAACCTTGGTTTCTAAGTAGAAATATTACTTTTATTTTAAAACCAGATTTCAGTAATCTGGAAAGTTACTACACTGGGGTAAATTTAAAGAATTAAGCTGTGTGACCACACACAACACAAATAAATCAAAAGCAACTAGGCTTTTCATTAACCATTGTAGGTCCATTCTCCATTTTCTGACAATAAGCACCACATCCTATTTACTTTGATTTAGAAATTGCAAGTCAAAGAAATTATCTGCAATGACAGATTTTTTGAATCGGACTCACTTATAAAGAAGCCTTGACCCACTAACCCATTTCTCCTGCTTACTAAAATTAGTGATGGTAGACAACTTCTCTTCACAGAATCACAGAATGGTTTGGGTTGGAATGGACCTTTAAAGACCATCTAGTCATCCCGTGTGTCCCCCTCTGCCATGGACAGGGACATCTTTCACTAGATCGTGTTGCTCAAAGTCCCATCCAACCTGACATTGAGCGCTTCCAATGTTGGGGCATCCACAACTTCACTGAGCAACAAAAGAATGGCCTTCATCCACGGCCTTCACTAAGCACTTTAGTGATTAGATTTCAACAGGATGTCAGACACTTGTGGATCTGGGACTAATAGCTCAAACAGAATCATCCCCTGGCACTAAGAAGTATAGCATTTCCAAAGGATCTAAAAAGAAATATAGTTTTCTTCTTAAAAGCATGTAACTTGATATAAGCATATAATTATTTCTAAGCATACAATTATTCAGCCTGGAATACATTCGTTGAGTATTCAACTGTAAACTGCTAAATATTCAGAAATTATTCTGCCTGTAAATGCACAAACACACAGAAAGACACAAGACTTACCAACTCTTCACAGTGAGTATGTTTTAAGCGTTTAGCTATATCAAGTGGCGTCTCTCCTGATTCATTAGCTATATTACAGCAAGAAAAGAAAGTTTTGATGATAGGCATCACTATTAACATGTCCATTATTAAAGACAAACCTGCAGGTACATAGTGAAGTACTAGACCAACACAC